CTTTTATAAAGCTTAACTTTCTAATATTTTAATTGGCTTAAATCCACACTGACCTTTCGGTGATAGTCATTGAACCTCCTTCCTTAGCATTTCCTTCAAGTAAACCCAACAAATACTCATGGAATCTCATGAGATTACTGTTTCAACTTGTTGTCTCTCAAAGTGTCACAAGTAATTTAAAGGAAACAAAAAGTTAACAAAACGTAAACAAAACTCATTAATCAAACCATTTTGACACTCATTACCCTTACCAAAACTGACCAGATATAAAATATTATAAAGCAATTATTGATCTCAAGGAATGACAACTTGTTGATTGAAAACTAATCCAAAAATAATTTAACCAAATTTCTGATTCAGTTCTTGTATTGCGATTATACATTGAATAATAATAATAACCATTGAAAGCTGACCATGAACTATGCTAGTTCATGGTTGATAGTTGATAGCAGTGATCAAATTTTAGCATTGTATTCATTTCCAATGCTAGAAACTGCGCAACTAAAGGAGGAGTTTAAATAAGGTGAAAAGGAAATAAGGAAGTGATAGCAGCCCATAAGAATATTTATTCAATGATACTGATCAAAGTTCCAAAATCCAAGTTTGAATGATCTTGAGAAGGGAATATGAAGTTTTCGTCAACTTTTCATGCGGAAAGTATCGAAAGAATGTTTCCAATCGAAACTAAATAAATCACATTTTATTCCAAATACAATTCTTACAATATTTACTTCATCATTATTATCAAAGTCACAAAAACATTATCTTTGATTCGTCTGCCAAGTCTGTCCTCGAAGCTTAAACACCAATCAAATTAAATCTCAAAGTAAAAACAACAACATCATCATCCTCCTCATCATCAATTTATATTTATTCAAATGAAAATTGTAAACCTGTCAAATTAATTACCGCTTCAGCTTTGCCTATCGAACCCGATAATAAAAAATCCTTGATTTCGTCAAACCTAACGTCGACATTCTGACCATTACACGATGCCCAATGCTGATAAATTTATCCAGTTATCAATATTGACAAAAACAATCCAATGCTATTAATAATCGACTAATTTTCATCTTTTTTCGAAAAGACTTGAATCCTTAATGAAAAAATGATTTTCACAATAAGAAAACCTTTACTTTTGTTGAATTGAAGAGATTCGAGACGACAAAAACATTCAAATGAGTTTAGGCAACAATTTCATTTTTCAAGTTAAGAGATGAGACTTTACGAGTTTGTAGGGAAATTAAAACTTAGAGTAAAATCCGAATAAACTTCACTTCAACTTTTTATTCCTTGGACTAGAAGGTCAAATCTCAGAGTCTCCTTGTTGAATAAATTGTATTTTTAATTTATATCTAATTCAATCAAGAAATCATGAAAGTTGTTCTCCTCTCTCAACTACACTGTACTTGCAGTCCGTCATTGATTTGCATAAATTAAAGCCTCTTTGAATTGAATGAAAGCCTAAGCAAGTCAGTATGGCAACATTCAGCCTCTATTGTTATTAAAATGCCCTTATAAAAGTAATGGTTGCAACTTTTATTCAAAAGCTGCATAATATAACATCGTTATCAACTTTGATTCGTGATGTTTTAGTAAAGGGAAGTCAAGTGTTAAAACTAATTGTTAGTGCGTTAAAGTGACACGTACTGTTAACATGATTTGATGGATCCTTAATGAGCATAAGATAGTAAATGTTTGCTGCAACATTTCCGGAGACTTTATTTGTTATGCTTTTAATGATGACACTTTGTGATACTCATTTAACACTTTTCAACTCAACAAATCAAAAACTATTCAACTCGAAATCGTGTATTTGAAACAAGCCTCGAAAAGCAACATTTTTTAATGCTTTCAATTTTGGCCACAAATTGATGCATAAATTGGCCAAATTGATTCATATACACGATCAACTTTCTATGAAGCTTTCTGTTTCACTTTTTCTTCTACAATTCAGTTCTATACCTTAAACCTAGCTAAAGTCGCTGTGAAATGAAAATAGAAAAAACAAAAGAAAATTCAAAGAACAAAGTCGAACCGAGTCAAGCTCGGATTAGTGAACCTTTCAAAAGCTTAACTTCGTAATATTTTAATTGGCTTAAATCCACACTGACCTTTCGGTGGTATGTTCCAGATTCACCAATCTTTTAAGCTTTAAAGACATAAGTTTTGAGTTAAGCGTTTAAGCGTTGGGTCTAAAAATTTATTTTTTAAATTAAATGAGATACAAATCAATATTTCGATAACTTAAGCACCTAGAATCATCATTTTTTCAACAATTATTAGATTTTATCATGGGCTATATGATATTCATTATTAAATAAATCAGCTCAGATTTTTCTAGGTATTTAGTCATATGTTATAGTCAGTAATTAAATCATAATGATGAAAGAATGATGAATGTAAGTGCTACCGTTCTCAAAATATTGAGACTCAAGTTATGAGGCCGATGACGCAAAATCAAGAGAACTGTCGATTAATTTAAAAAAATGTTCTATCATTGATGAGTACCTACAATTTACCAATTGATATCGACGAATGATAAGTTTTAGCTCTCTAACACTTAGTTTTAACTTTTAACCTGAAGAGATTATTTCTTAAAAGCTTAAAAGATTGGTGAATTTGGACCAAACCCCTTTCGGTGATAGTCATTGAACCTCCTTCCTTAGCATTTCCTTCAAATAAATCCAACAAATACTCATGAAATCTCATGAGATTACTGCTTCAAGTTGTTGTCTCTCAAAGTGTCACAAGTAATTTAAAGGAAACAAAAAGCTAACAAAACGTAAACAAAACTCATTAATCAAACCATTTTGACACTCATTACCCTTACCAAGACTGACCAGATACAGACCCCTTATGATAATGACAACTTGAAATAACCAAGAATAATTTAAACATTTTGTTTCAAATTTCCGTCCATTTGTTGAATTCAGTTTCTGAATAGCAATTAAATTTCAAAATTTGCAGTTTGTTTGATGAATGTCTTGATTGACTGGAAGATTTAAGGAAATGTAAAGTTAATTGTCAAAAGAAGTGAATCGCCGGTTCAATTGAGATATCAGACAAAATAAGATGATGATGATGATGAAAATGATTGTAAACAAGTAACCATCTTGACGATGAATAGGACTAAAGGTGAGCATAAATGGTCTCAATGGACGAAATAATTTTACCTTTTTTATTACATTTCTGTTGAACAATAGGTGAGGTTAATAACAATATCAACAGATACATTTATTGCAAGGAAAGATTGGATACGCTGTCAGGTTTTAAATGGAGTCAAGTCACGGGTAAATGTTTAAGGCGATTATCAAGGGAATGAAAATGGAGCAAATCGATGAAAATGTAAACGCATTTGTTGGAGAACAAACAAAATGATGTCTTTTCGCGTTATTTGCACAATATTTAGAAACTTTTTTCAAATATTAATCTCAAATTTTCTTTGTGAAAGCTGCGCTTTTATGCCAATGCAAAGGTAAGGATAATGTGATTATGGACTTGCTAACCTCATGTAAATGACCTTAGATGCTTCGATCAAGAATAGCATTTAAATAAAAAGATTTTTACCAAAGTTGTTATATCTTACAATTGTGTTGGACTTTTTTAATTACATAAAATGCTTTAGCGTTTCACTGTTGACATTGCATTGATTGAAATCGTCAGTTAATCTGTGCTAATTTTCTTGCAGTTTTCACTTCTTTCAATGAATTGACCATTATGCAAGTTGATAATTAAAGTGATGCAATTGTAAGCATTTTTTGTTTCTTTGGTGATGTAAGTTAAATTTATGTGAAACTTATTAAACTGATTTGAAGCTTGTGTCTTTACACCTTTACAAATTTGTAACAAATTGAAGTAAGATTTGAAAGAAACTGAAACGGAAGTTGCAAGATGAACAGGTTGATAGTTTGATTGCATGACTTCAGTCAATTACTTAGCCTTAACTCTGAGGTAACACAAGAAATTTATGCGAAGCAAGGGAAAGAATCCAGAGGATTAGTGTCACTTTAGGGGTTGAAGTGGTTCGTTTGAAGCGGTTGACAAGCCAGGCCAGGGTCAAGTTTAATCAAGTCAATTGAAGGCAGCCAAGGGCTCGATACAATCTTGTCCCTCAATAGAAGGTAAGATTAACAAGAAAAAATAGAAAAATTAATGTCCGTTTTTGACGCAAACTTCAACTGGATTACACTTAAAATTAAGGCTGACTAAAGGTTTGATAAACATCATAGGGTTAGCATGATTCAGTTTCATCATTGAGACAATTCATCACAGTCAATTCAAATTGACAAAAAACCAACGCTAAAAAGGTTGAACAAAGCTGAAGATTATTTCCTCTTTATCATGGAAAAGGTCTGATGCCAACATTGACAAATTATTAAAAAGTTCATTTTCAATGTTCAACTGAATGTTTACTTGAGCTAATAAATCTGACCGTGATTCAATAATCATTATAAACTGTTAAATTGCCAACAACGTCCAGTACTGTTGCATGGATTCAGTTATATCGAGATCATTACCAATATCCAAACAAATGAGATCCTTAACAAGCTTAATTTTGTCCCTAAAATCTAGTTTGTTTGAGCAGTACAAATGAAAATACATAAATCGCTAAAGTCATAATTTTAAATCTTTCATAAGTCTTTGTGTCGCCCAGTGTTCAATAGCATTAAGACTTGCATCTGATGGCCATATTTTTTCAATTTAAATGATTATTTAGCTTCTGAAGCGTTCCGAAACTGTTAATTGTCTAGATAGGGATTAAACTAAGAAAAGTATTAGTAGCCAAAAATTAAGATCAACGAAGTGACTTAAAAGGATAACGTTTTTTTCCTGTTCTTTTCAATGATCATGATTGAATTGCTTTTGTTTCCCACTAACATTGTAAGCCATCTTCAGTTCAAGGATTCCCAAACCGACTTTTATTTCATTGAAACTCTTTTCAATTCCAACTCTGATTCCATCTTGATTTAAACATTAAACATTGTGTTGAATGTATATTACATTGTGTATTATAATACATTTATTATTGAATTTTGAACAGAATGGTTATTTTACATGAAATGAAATTACACGTTAATGTTGTTTGTCATTGTTACAATATTTGGGTGAAAATAAACATGACTGGAAGTAAAATGCATTCATGGGTTGACCACAGTTGGCAAATGGATTGGTGAATGTTGGTCTGTAAGGTGAAAGTGATGACAATTGAAACCGATTCAGTGACCCATAAGAACCATAATTTTGTAAGATTGACCTTCTAAAGGATTGAGCGAGTTTCGCTCTTGAACTGTTTTTCCTCCTCAACTTGCCGGAAGAAGTTCCAATGAACACTTCATCAGATTCATTTGGATCCAACATCCAATAATTGCCTTTACCAGGATCATCATAATTCCTGGGAACTTTAATGAAACACTTATTAAGAGACAGATTGTGACGAATCGAGTTCTGCCAACCCTGCTTGTTGCTTCTATAATAAGGAAAGTTTTCAGTGATATAATCGTAAATGCCACTTAAGGTCAACTTTTTCTCTGGACTATTTTGAATGGCCATAATTATCAATGCATTGTAACTGTATTTGGGTTTATTGGCAGAGTTACTTTCACTATTAGAGTTTACTTCAGGTTTAGACGAAGTTACACTTTTTGATGAATTTGATGAATGGCAACTCTTCATATTAACAATGTTGTCCAGATCACTATTTACATCCGAAGTTGAACACTTTGTTACACTTTCAATCCCATTGGGTTCACTGTTGGTAATGACTGAGGTCTTATCCAAATTGGGTGAAAAGGGTGTTGATTCACTTTCATTGTCACTGTCAATCTCATTAAGTAAACTCCGAATTGAAAAGGAATTGAATTTTGGTATGGTCATGTTGATGAATGTTACAAAAGGGTTCACACTTAGAGTAAATTATCAAAGAGAATCACAAAAAGACAAAAGAATCTTAACCAACATGAAGAGTAAAGTAATTTACCGATGTATCTATCACTATAGACGGTAGGTTAAAGTCAAGTTTACTATAAACCAAGAAACTAAAGTTGATTCTTCCCTTTGCTTTTCATCTTTTTACCGTAAAAACCAAAACTCCTCCTAAAAGGTGGTTAAAAGTGCGCAGTTTTACCCGATTCCCTTCACCTAAACCATTTGAGACACTTAGTTTATCGAAGACTATAACCTATTATTATGAGTATAAATGAATATATAAAGTAGCAAGAGTTTACAAAAGATGTAATGTTAATGCGCAAATCAGGAATTACCCATAATCATAATGTTTGCGTTTAAGTCGGCAAAATGAAAAGTCAAGTCCAGTTTGACGGAATAAAAGGATTGGGCAAAGAATTTTGGTAAATCTTTTTGATCACAGAACAGATGAAACAAAAATCAACTTAGCATTGTGATCGACCATTCAAAGATATAATTGTCAGCTCCAAATATAAATATAAAAAGTAGTGTTACAATAACAGGGCTATCTCCTTGCTCTGCTTAAACCTCAAAAGCAATGAAAAATATAACTAAATTGATGATAACAAAGGCAGCATAGATCATTTAAACACAGTTTGGATAAAAAATCATGTAAAATTGGTTTATTTGAATTAACTTTGATCAAATTGGAAAATAGAGACAAAAATTAACGTCTTATAAAAGCATTGAGTTTGTAAGTTAGTTTATGATCCAAGAGATGGCACAAGTACTTTGGGCAACTAATTTTAGCGACAGTCAACTTTGCGCTTTCACCCCGACGCTTTGCGACTCGTGCTCTCATGAATGCTCGTAAATACTCATAAATACTCATAAACAGGTGGCAAATAAATGAGCAACAATCAGGATTGACTAACTCAAGATGAGAACGATCTTTAAACAAATGTTTATGATTAATAAGACAAGCTCTAACTTTTGGGCTACATTTAGGGATAAATATGTTTACATGCATAAATATGTGAATTGTGATTTTTGTAGTGCACATGTGAAAAGATTAACATAATAATAGACATATAGACAAAATAATAAATGGTTTTGCGTAAAAAAATCAAATTAATGATAGAATAATAAAAGATTATTTAAAGTTTACATAATTATGGAAGTTATGGCAACGTTTAGAAGCGTATTGAATCATGTTGAGATAATTATCTGCATAGTTAACGTTACTAAAAGATAAATTTTACATAATTAGACTTAGTAACAATTAGAAAAGGACAATAAAGTAATAATTCAATATCAAAAATATCATTTCATAAAGCTAAGGTAGCTTTTGAGAATTGGTATTTTCGAGTAAACAATAAGAATTAAATGTATTAGAAAAGATGAACATTAGTCGATTATTAATAGCATCGGATTGTTTTTGTCAATATTGATAACTGGATAAATTTATCAGCATTGTATAATGGTTAGAATGTTTCTTCTTTGAAGCTGGGTCAGTTTAAAAAATTTTTAAGCATGTTAAGAGTTCGAAATGATGATGTGAATTGTAAGGCACTTGAAGTTTCAATAGTGGATCTGCTTAGGATTGCGATTGAGGTTGTAGTTTTGATGCGTGATTCAATGGATTGTAAATCATTTTATATCAGACTGGATTTTTTCAAGGCACTTTTTGTTGACACATCGTTGTTTACGCACAAAAGGTCCACCAAATTTTGGACGATCTAAACAGTTTATGCATTTGCCACAATCATCAGCAAGACAATTGGCACATTTAAGGCAACACCAATTTTTGACGCGAATTTTACTTCGACGATCAGGCTTTTTGCTGATGATCTTTGGTGTGATTCTCCTGAAATCGATCACTTTAATGGTTTGACCTGGAAATCCTTGGAAAGTAGTTGCGATTGATTTGTCATTTTCTTCTTTAATAAAAGATTGTATATTCTGATTGGCATCAGATTCATCTTCAGCTTCATCGCAATCAGGAGGAACTTTTTCTTCACAGGTTAACATGTTGGTATTAAATGGTTGTTTTTTACTGGTTTCTTGATTCACAATATTGCTGGTTGATTCAGTTGATTGTTTGTTTCCAAAATTACAAGTGTCTTTTAGGTTTGACGAAATCAAGGATTTTTTATCATCGGGCTCGATAGGCAAAGCTGAAGCGGTAATTAATTTGACAGGTTTACAATTTTCATTTGGATAAATGTAAATTGATGATGAGGAGGATGATGATGAAGGTAAAGATGATGAAAGTAAAGATGATGAAGGTAGAGATGATGAAGGAAAAGATGGTGATGATGATGTTATTGTTACTTTAGGAAGATTTGCCTTGATTGGTGCGTATGCTTCGAGGACAGACTTGCGACGACTATCAACGGAATAAATCTGCAAGAAAAATAAGTAAATTATTAGAATTATAATTTAAATTAAATTTTAAATAAAATAATATCTCAGAAAGACGAGAATCAGATCTTTTGCATCATAAAAATACTACTTCAAACAAATAAATTTTCAATTTGACAGTTTTACAGTGATGCAGATGTTTATAAGAGTTTTTAAAGCTGCTAAGATACGAATCAAGCTTAATTTTCTGAATCATAAAGATATATCAGGGTTAATTGACTTTTATTTGGCTTATAAGGGCATATTCAATGTTAATTTGGTATTCAGTTTTGACTAATTAGGAGTGCAGGCATCTAAAGTTGACGTAGTCACTAGAGTTAACCGTTCTGTTCATTTGAAAATTGAGTTAAATTGATTATGTATAACATAACACTTTTTTTACTAAACTAATTTGATTTACAGTGCACATGATGAATGGACATGAAAAATTTTATTGACAAGCGAGTCAAATCTTTGGTTCTAAATTTAGTCTACAACTCATTAAAATTTAATACATTATTTCAAACCTCAAGATTCAATTGAAGTTGCAGCAATTAAAAACACTTTAACGTGTAGTTAATTAGATAAAGGGTGAGGTCATGGATGAAAGAGACAGAACAATTGAGAATGCATTTGTTATTGGCTATCCTTTATCACCTAATATTAGACTGAAATGGTTGGTTCAAGTAACAATAGTAGACATTATTCAGAATTTGCGATAAAAAAATTAAAATTAAAATCGAAATAATAAAATGATTGAAAAGAGTATAAATTTTAAAATTACGGAAATGCTGAAAAGAAAGTTTCTGTTCAAATTATAGATTGTTGCGAATTAAAATGGAAAAATAAGAATGAATTCAAGATTTTATGATACAACTTATATCATATAAGTGTCTATCGGAACCGAGAACTGCACAGGAAACAGGAACTTATGGGCAATTATTCATTTTGCTGGATAAATAAAAATATAACCATCTGAAATTTTCTGTTTATGCATAACTTCGCCCAAAGCAAATGAATGTGCAACTAATGCTGTCATTTACAATAACTAACACCGTTTAAGCTTCATCTTAAGCTTCGTGACTGTCTTACCTTCATACAGGCTAAGATCCAACAAGCTTTACACTTTGATTTAACATCAAGTGGACATTGACCAAGAAACTGGCAAGAGAATCGAGTTGGTCTCAAGAAAAATTCTTTGAAAAATCTGTAGCAAGCAACACAAGTGAATTGACCATAGCGACGTTGGAGGGTTGTATAACATCGAATGGTTGAGCAAACAGGACAATGAATGTATCCACTTCGAGTACAAGATTCAGATGGATTGGGAATTGTGTTATTCAATTTCACGAAATTGGGTATGGAATCTATTGTAACAGAAAGAGAAAGAAGGGAATAAGTGATTATGCCGATGTGAGAAGTTACACTTAAAGCAAGCAATTACATGGAAATCACATGAGAATCAAATGAAAAAAAGAAGAAAAAATGAAAATAAAAGAGAAAGAAAACATAACAGAGGGTGGGGAAAGAGAAGAGAGAAATAACTTAGTAACTATGATAAATGAATGAAAAATGGAGGGCATTGAAGATGGAAATGAGAGAGAGAGAGTAAGAACGAAAGAGTAGGAAATGAAATGGTTTTACGTTTTGACAGCAGACGCTTCAAATTACAAAAATCCCTGAGACTGGAAAGAATAAACAATTTAGCAACTGGAAGAGCTTTGAAACAAAAAAGGAAAAGATTAGAGCATGCAATTTTCGAAGCATTTATTTATATTAATGTGGTTAAGGTGAATTTCACTTAGACACAAGTTAGTAAAATAATTTTCAATCATTTTTATGTTAAACCCGATTTGCATCAGTGACAGGGTGAATGACGGATTTCTTTAAATTTATAAACCAGTGGTAATAGAGTTGAGGGTTCATGGAAAATGTAATAGAGAATGAAATATGAAAGTTGAAAATGAAATCAGGCGGCTATCAAATGTTTTTTCCTCATAACCAAAAGCTTGCATATTGATTCGTTTCTTTAGGGATAGGAAATTTAATGAGTTAACACATGTTAACCAAACAAGTTGACTTACGCGAGTTGGGCTTGAAATTATCATGCAATTTTTCGTCGATTTCCCACGATTCATCATTATTGCTATTATCTGATAAATAGTTGCTGCTATTGTTATTATTATTGTTATTATCTCTGTTGTTAATAATTTTAGTCGCAGTATTGTCGACGGTTTTGTTAAAACTGTGGTTGACATTCGCATTAAGTGAAACAGTGTTGTTGTTAAGCTGATCTTGGTCTTCTTCATTAGTTAAATTAGCTGAATCATCTGGTTCCTCTTTCTTTTCACTTAAATGGACAGCATGATAATGCTTGCTAACATCACCAATGTACTCATGTATCGAGAAACAAGCCATACATCTATAGACCATTTCAGCAATTATTATTCCACTAGAGTCACATAATAATGATCTACAACCGCTTCTTTCATCCATTAACCGTATCGTACCGTCATTGTAACCGACTTTCGATGTCTGTAAATAACGAAAAAAAATCAATCAGCTTTATATAATAACGATAAAAAAAGGTAAATAAACAAGAACAAGAAATCAGAAAGGAACATATTTTTCTTTCATCGAATACTTACAGTAGCCATTTAAAGGATAACCAAACTGAGATGAATAAATCAAGGTTATCTACCTTTAAGTCTCAACTAAATAACCAGAGCGAGATACCTTTCCATGAAAAAAAACCAATGCAGAGTCGAGTGAAACCGTCAAACTTAATAATAATTAGAATAAAACAATAAAAACATAAAAAAATATCTTTTGTTAAGTTTTTGGAAACCTAAAAATTTGGAAATAAAGTAAGTTTTCTTATTCAACACCAGAGGGCATTATTACGCGTATGCCGCCATCTTGCGATGAAAAATTTAAAATGAAACGATTCGTTTGAAATAAATTATTTGAAATAATTAATTCGTAAATTGTTTTTTGCTATTTTAAACTGTTTATTAGAATCTAAGCTTTTTATTTTATTATTTTATAATTCTGAAGAGACAATTATTATACAATGGAACAAGTATAGATCATATTTATGTCAAAAATTAAAACATGAAAAGTTGCTAACAGTGATAAAAATATTGTATAAGTGTTTGTCTGTTTAGGCACATATTAGCCGTTAACAATTAAATACAATTGATGATGCTAATGAAACAAAAGTGACATAAAATGCCGATGGAAATATTTAAAACACAAAAAATATATGTTAATCTCGAAATTTGGATTTGATTGAACCGGGAATCGGAATAATGTAAACAATCGTGTTCAGTGCATATGATGACAAGATGAAGACCAAATTGAGTGCATAATTTTTATAATGGGTGAGTGACCATTCAGGGAGAAGATTTTTACTCGCATCAATTCCTTCTTTATATCTTTGAGATAAAAAGTGAGTTCCATTAATGAATAAACATTTACCAGGAATAACATTCATAGGACACTCTTCAAGTAAACCGGTGGTTGGTGATAAGGCTGGTGCCTGAGTGAGAGCATCATTATCATGAAATTCAAGAAACGAGAAAGACCAATAAGCATAATAATAGATATTGGCAAATTCAAGATAACTCATCCATTCAGGAGCTGACAAGGTTGAACGAAGGAAAGCGCAACCAAAGACCATGTATAAATTGAGAAAAGTTGAACTGGTAACTGAGGCAGTAAATGGTGATTTGATGAAACAAAGGAAAGCCACTGTATGTTGCTCTGTGTTAAAAAAAGGAGAAATACGTAATTAGTTAATTGTAAACAATAAAGGATGGAACAAAGCAAGTCTGCACTCTTTAATTGAATCAATGGATTAATTCAAATACGGGTTGTTATCCAGATAATGTAGTGAATACTGATGAGTCAAATTAACCTTTATAGATTACATTATGACTTTGGGATAATAAAGAAGAGCAAAAAGATAAAAGTTAAAAAGACTAACCTGCAAATGTATGAACAGCCCAAAGGATGGCCGTAAATAGTCCCCATCTTTCGAGGTAATAAGCATCATAGCGAAGTCCAGCTGCCCAGTAAATGATGCTGCCACAAATACCAATTGTGATAAGATTATATGGTATGCTGGTTAGTATTTGAGTTAAAATAAAGAGCGGTCCACGGTAAAGGGAAAGTCGAGATGATTCTTCGTAGAAACGATTACGATGAGGTGCAAATGAGTATGCAGTGAGAGCTGGTGTAACAAAGTTAATTACAGTTATACAATTGAGAAACAGGCCGGATCGAGTTTGAAATGATTGCTGTTGTGAGGGTAACTTGGGAAGAATAAATATGTACAGGAGAAGAAAGAAAAGGGGTAAAACAAAGATTCGTCGAGCAATATTGGTCCATGTAAATAAAGAAGAAAATTGTCGACCCATCAAAGCCATTGTAACATTCCAGGTTGATGCTCGCCCATATGCTGTTAAAGGTATACTTGGTGACAATGGACCAGCTCCATTAATGGCTGCGGGTGATCCACTATATTTACGATATTCATGTCCTTCAACTTTAAATTTATCGACAAGAGCGGCAATTTGACTTGAAGATTCAATGAAACGATCTCGACTTCTTCTATCAACGGTTGAAAGGCAAACTGTTGGAAAGAAAGGAAATGATATAAAATTAGTATTAAAGATTAAATTCATTCAGGGTTGGAAATACAATGAGGAAAATTGTTGCAGGTTTTTGGAGTCAAAATTGAAAAGTTAATCCATTGAAAGAACCTTCATTGACAAGATAATCATTCTCATAATTACTGAAATTAACTATCAATAGAAAGTGAATAAAAATCATTTAAGCTAATGATTGAAGATGAAAAGACTTACAGATTGAAATAGTAAGGTTGAGTGAAGAGTCAAATGCGATTAGCAACTTGCTTTTTGTCATGAAAGCCAATAAGGTTATGAGCAAATATTGTTGAAGATGAAGTCAACTTTAATTTAAATTGCTCCTCAAATTGTAATGAAAAAGGAAAAAGGGTCAAACATAAAAGGACAATTCATTATATAAATTTAAGGAATTTGAAAGGAAAAAAATTCCCATTAAATCTAATGTTATTATAAAAGCAATCTGTCATTGTTAATCTTCAATGCAAGATCCATTTAAGACAAATAAAAATAGGATAACTTAAAATTTAATTCAACAGGTATTAAGAGTTCTGATCAACCTGAAACTTGATGATGAGTAGACTGTGAACTAAATGATAAGTATAATTGTATACATACGATAATACATGAGAGGGTTTTCCAATTCAGGACAAGGGAATCCAATACTCCGAAAGTAGTCCATCATCATTCGAGTAGATCCAGTGTAGACAACGTCACCCAAACAAAGATACGTAACACGATCAAGAAAGGGAAATATATCTGATCGAGGTTTGTCCATTGTGAGAATGACAATTCGGCCGTATTTTTTTACATGATTTGATAGGATAGAGATGACAAAGTATGTATTGAGTGGATCAAGTGATGAAGTTGGATCGTCAAGAACGAGCAACAATGGATCTCTAACAATTTGTAAACCAATGGCAAGTCGTTTGGCTTCTGGTAGGCTCAAAGTGTCAACTTTACGATTAGCAAGTCCAGTCAAGGCTAGGTCAGCTAAGACTTGTTTGATGCGCGTTTTCTTCATGGTTTGACTCGTCTTCATAGTCATATTGGCCATATATTGAAGACTTTGACGAACCGTTAATCCTGGTATGAGTTGAGTTCGCTTAGAGACAAAACCACATTGCTCTTGGAACAGTCTTAAAGTCAATGGAACATCATTCAATAAAATTTGCCCCTTTGTGGATCCTTGTCCGGTGACTCGATGTCCAATAACGTCTATTAAAGCTCTCTTTCCAGAACCTTTGCTTCCCAAGATGGCCATCACTTCACCAGAGTAAACTTCAAAAGAAACATCTTTTAAAATTAATCCTTTAGCCAAAGAACCAGTTAATTTTGACCAGATAGTGGCTCTATTGGGCGGCACTATGGGTCCTGTATGAGAGACTCCAATTAATTCAATCATATGGTAAGATTGAGGATGCGATCCACCAGATCCTGGGTTCATATAATTCATCTGGAACAACAAAAGGAAATAAATCACAAATTAGAATCAAATCACTTCTAAAAAGTCACAAGGTGAAAAAAATTAGAGACCTTTGGTAAAGTTGCCCAAAATTTGGCGACTTTTTTGGAGGAAAAAAAGATAGGGAATAAATTGGGAATTTCAGTTTCTAATGATGTTGAATAATTTGATGACATGATTGTTGAAAATTACTTGAAAGGACACAACAAAGTGAATTTGAATACTGACAAGGAGATCAATACACTGATAATTGGTTAATACTTGAAAACATATTGGTCACAATTAGATTGAGAAAATAGCGTTATCCACGAAAAATACTCATCACAATATTTTTATGATTTTCTGTCGATTCTTTTGATGTTTATGGTGATGATGATTAGCACAAGTTTGACATAATCATGTTTATTGCACTAATTCTTACAACAAATGACTCCATAAAATAAAACACAATCAAAATAATGTTCATTTCAATAGTAAAACGACCAATAAAAATTGTTGGAGGTAGAATAAGAAAAATATTTCTTACTAAAACCCACTCTTTTCAGTTGTTTCAAGTCATCTTCAGTATCATCCGTTTTCATGAGTTTTCTCTTATTCTCCCTTCTCGCTGCTTTGATTTCTTCCAATTGATTTAATTGCCGTAAAGTAAGAAAATAAGATGACTTTCTCCTTGAAACTGTAAAAAATCATCCCAAATAGAAGCATAACACTTCCTCCAGAGTCTCCTTTTTAATTCATTTGAATATCATTATTGGTGGAGTTTCAAATCAAATGTGACCATGAGATAGTGTAGATAATGGTACTTTGATTCGCAAATATTCATCTATAAACGCCTAGTAATTGCAAGTGAAAATTTCATGCTGATCGACTGTATCGACTTAAGTCACCAAAACGTTGTTCATATTTTTCTTGCTTTTGTTTGGGTCTTTTCCGTCCATTGAATTGTTGTGCCATTGCTTTGATTAACGGTAAAGTATAATCTAATTTTATCATATAAATGATACAGCTTTTCTGTTGTTTCCTCATGATTTGTTGATCTTGTTCATAATGGGCAGTAATTAATGCGTTGGTAGACAATAGTCTTGTTCAAGTTGCAAGACCATGATGATGAGTGTTTTTTTCAAGACGATGACGATAACAGCGACAGTATGATGTTATACAAACACAATTAGATTAAAAACTATCAAAATTAGGCAATAGAATGAGAAGAAAAATGTAAGCCAAGGTTTTAGTTCACCAACAACAAGAACCATTCCATCTATGGTGAACAACTTCCCAAGTGTTGTTTAGTGCTCAAGTTAAAATTTAGTTTACTTGAGAATACTTGTGTTAACAATCAACAGCCAACTAACAACAATTAACATAAACGTCACCATCAGAGCATCACTTTAATCTGTATCAGACGACCACCAAAAATCACCTCCACCTCCACCATTGAGCTACCAACAGGATCCAACCGTTAACCGACTGCCATATAGACAATTGATAAAGGTAAAAACCAGAGCCTACACAATTATTTCATTTACTATACCCAAATTAACGAGCTTTACAGTAATTTAAAAGTTACCTTCCTCCTTAGACAGAATACCACTCGATAAATTAATCATAATAATGATATAATCAAATGAAAGAAGAGCGGAGGGTTTAGTCGGTAAACAAGCAGAGAAGAGTAAGTGTAACAAAAAGCAAAAAGAAGAGGCTTGAAGAGGTGAAAAATTAACCGAAATTAATTGCTCACTAATCATTTCAAGGTAATAATGTTGACATCATTTAGTATTCTTACAAAAGTGAATCTCAAGAAAATCAACCCAAAATTCAGGAAAAATTCAGAGTAAAAGAAAAAACAATAACAAAGCAAAGAGCTTGGAGTTAAAGTACACTTGCTTACCTTTTAGGTTTCAGACGTTATCCAAGTTTAGGTTTGCTTTAAAGGGATCCACATTCAGCACTGGTAAATTACATTTGATTTCAAACGACTTGTAGAGTTAATCAACAATTACAACGTTAATGATCAATTAGTGATTCTCATTTGCAATGGATTATCGATAATTTTGAAAATAAAAACCAAAGAAATTCAGTTTAGCAAGAAATAATGAAAAGCAAATGACTAACTTTTTAACCTCAACTTTTTCAGCTACCAGCTAAAGGATGATAAAGTAAAGGTATGAGAGAGGGAGAGGAGAGGAGGGTAGAAAGAAGTACAAAAGGTTGTTCAATGGGAAGATAAGAAAAGAAAGGTGGCAACCGGGAGAAAGAAAGAGCCAGAAGATGGAAGCAAAAGAGAAACCAGTTTTCAGTTTTATTCTTGTAGCAATGTACAGCTTGATCAAAAAAAGTTTATTTCTTGTTAGCAACCTTTACTTTTTATAAGAATGTTGTTGTTCCACAGGCTTTCCCTTGTTGACAACCTTTACATTGGTCAATAAATTGGACTAAATTGTTTCAATAGTGATTATTAATTGACCCAAATAGTGTTCCAACTGTGTATTAGTGTCTACATCAATGACTAACCAGACTATTGCCCAGTAGATTGTTTTAATTACCATTAAATGTAAGTGTTAACTATACTTTTTTCTGTCTAACTTGTTTCTCGTTGAGTCTCTCCGGTTCAAAGCTGCTGTTGCTTGTGTTTTTGCTTGTTATCATGTGATCTCACCATTTTTGCCATTATTTTCAAACAAAACCTGGTTCTTGTTAAACCATTGACTGACCAAATTAACCAAATAATCCTAATCAGTTACTGACATTTAATTGTTATCTAGTATAATAACCTTACTTACACATGATTATCAAAGAGTCATTTACCTTGAGCCATTTACCAGCCATTTTCAAGCCATTCACTCGCTCTTTCTTTGTGTTAATGTATGGTCATCTGGCTAACAAGTACTAACAGCTTATACTATTTCATGATTACATTTTGCCATCTAACAATCTCTTAATTGTTGACAATTCTCACAATCACCATCTTAATATTTATTTATCAAGATTCGTCAGAAGCCAGTTTACCTAAAAGATGACAATGTTACAACTCTTGCCTAAAATGGGAAAAGGTTAAATCAAGATTGCGGCTTAATCCTACCAATCTGATGATTACTGAAAACTCAAATTGCCATCTCATACCAATTCAATTGACCAACTTGATCAAATCTATTGGCACAAACTGTTCATTCAACCCATTCTTGATTTAACCAGTCTTGACATTTTTGACAGTTATTTATCAATAATAACCTGAAGAACCGGAAAAAAAAGGTTCAACAGTTAAACAATGATAATCAAATGGTGTATCAAAGTTTTGATAAACCACTTGATGAAAGTTATTATAATTAAAAGTTAACACAAAGTTGATTGAAAAATATGACATTAGGTTAGTATTTGTTGTATTGCTTCATCAATTGTTAATCAAACCTGTAAATCCAAAATGATTGTCAGGTAAAGAGACAAGATTGTTGATTCACTTTAATGCTGTTTACATCAACGTTATTCATTGATATCAATTATAATTACATACAAGTCCAATCCATCCATTAAAGTAGATATTATATTGAACCTGGTATTTTAGGTTAACATGGTAAATGATAATGAAAGAGAATGAAAAACAAACATTTTCTGTACGGAAGTAACATTAAACCATCATTCCCTGTTTATACAGAATCTTGCAGATCATTGAGACAAAATATTTCCGTTTCTTCAGCAAAAATTTCACCCAACTCTTAAAGAAACCACTAGATATTCATGTTAATATTGAAGAAATTTATTCAACAGAAAAGAAGGAAATTTTTATCCAATTTTTCATCATAATTTGAATCTTTCCTGCTGTTTCACTTTGGCCAAATTTTTTGAAAATTTTTCTAAAAATTAAATCAAATCAATTGTGTTGGTCATGAAATGGTGAATATCAAGCGAAGTATTTTGCATTTCATGAGAAACTTCATCTTGAAAATGAGTTCTCACACTGCTTTTGACCACAAGCTTCAAACCTTTCAAAAAGTCAAAATTTAATTGTTTCGACCATCGATTGACCAAACCTTAACCTATTGAAACTCAGGTTAAATGAAAGATTAATATTCAAAGTTGTAATAACATTGAAAATGAGCTTCAAATCATCATTTCTGAAGTAATCAATTCTTTTGGAGTTTCATGAGTTGCTTTCATCATAATTTTATCGTGATTTTGATAAAGTTTTTAGTACTGATTCCTGAGATTTCATGACAATCTGATTCCAATTTGAATCATTTTAGGAGTTAAAATCGTTGAAACTGACAAAGAGTTTTGACAATCAGAAATGCTTAACTCGTTTGATGACAATTTTTTCATTTCCATTATTACTTTTTCCTTGATTCACCAAATTAAAATTTCTTCAATCAAGTTAATTAAATTTCCTGATTATCCTGACGCGGTTGAAGCTGTTGGTTGGCAATAATTATGATGGAGATTTAAATTATAACAAACAATGATCAAGATGAATGAATTTGATTAACAAAAGAAAGGTCATTTAATTTTCAATCATCCATTTCAAATTTGCGCAATTTAAATTGCTTTTTAATTTTAACAATTAATTACAATTGAAGTTTAACTTTCACCCTCTCTCAATCACTTTCAATAATCCAATTTCAACAGTTGACTTGACATTAGCATAATCATAACCATCAATGTTTAACAATCGATTGACCAGTTAAAAGCTTTGCACCCAATAACATTTGAATGGAAGGTAAAGAAAAGACCAACATTTTTAATCGCATTCTTTTTCGCACTCTTGTCCATCAAAGAAAAAAGAGTTGAGCATTCTTATTGTCATTAAGCCCACAAAAAGGGTTAATGGTTATCATGTTGCCAGCAATTTTCACTAATTTATTCAACAAGACAACAATCATTGAAACTCACTTCTCAACTGTGACAACAGCAAAAATAGCCTTCAAACGACACTTCACTCGTTGATGAACATTCATCATTAAAACGTTAACTGATGAATCAATTGCTTAACAGTTAACATCGACAATGTTTATTGAACAATTAGTAAACCATGTTTAGTCCCAACTTGAAAGTCCCATTAAAACATTTACTTTTCAAGAAATTTCATCTTTTATCAGATTCTTTTTGTTGCCTTTTCATTCCAATCATTAGTGGGACAATTAATATTACTAATTGAACCAAGAGACGAGTCAATTTGTCGTTTGCTGAATTGATAAGGAATCTGATAATTGTCTCTTATTTATTCATTTAATTTGCATGGATTCAACTTGAACTTGAAAAAAAGTGTGTTTCTTGGAAAAGTGGGAAAAGTGGTTTCTAAATTGAAGATTATTATGATTATGATTAAGATGTCTGTTATGGCTTGGTTCTTGTGTTATTCAGAAATGCATGAAGTCAGGTCAATCAGAAAGATGTTAATTAAACGGTAAATCTAGGCTATCAACACCAACTTCAACCAACACCAAGTCCTTTCCACTCTTGTAGTTGCTAATCAAGTTACTTTTACCTTTCATCTAATGTTTCCATCTTACAACATTGCTCATCACAATTAACTTTCATCATGATGGTAATATATTATAATGGTTATAATCAAGAGTCAATTGTTACACGTAGCTTTAAACACGTATTCATCTGGCTTTCAACATCAATATTCAACGAATCAATGAAACATTCATTTTCCACATCATTTGTTAAACTGTGGCTTATCGATGCTAAATTAGTGCTTTGATTATGTTTTAAGCTTGAAATCAATCGAATTAAGTTTTGAAATTTCAATCAAAATCAAAATATTTGTTCAAAGCCACAATAAGATGAATCGGTTTTTGTTTTAACCGATGTTGTCAATAATAATGTAAAATAATCTGAGGATTTTGAGCCAGTCTGGTTTAAATATTAACTGTTTAATCAATAGACTTGATTTGATTAAAATGAACATTCTGATTGTGTTGACTCAAGAAGCTTTGTCTGAAAATGCTGAGATTATTTATAAACTCAATTTGTTTCAATTGAAATAACATAAAACATTGAAAAATCTTTGGTAATCTATTCAATTGGTTTTGAAGGTGATTGGCCTCAATTGTGATCAACTTGTTTCACTTATTCATTTTTCATTATTCATTTGCAATTGTTGAATGAATATATTTAAATTAGTTATCATTATTGCCAGCAAACGGCAATAATCTAATTTTACATGCAACATCGTTACACGTTTAAAGTTGTAACTCATTGAAAGGTTTACCAAAGTCTTGTATTGATATACATTTTTAGATGGTGTTGATTATAATGGCAAGTTAATTGTAATAAAAATTGATTGTGATGAAGCAAAGGAAGAAGAAAAATCTTCAAAATTCAGGAATTAGCCTTAATCGTTGTTAACCAGAAAATGAAATGTTAAAAATGAAAAAACGTAAAAAGTGACTCAATTCAATCAACATCACTTGATATTTCAGTTACAATATTTAACATCAGATAACCTCTAATAATGGTTAATTTCGAGTAAATATTTACTGATTAACTTCATT